TATATTATATATATATATATATATATATATATATATATATATATATATATATATATATATATATATATATAATTTTATTCAATGATAATATTATTGAAAGTATTTAGTAGTAATACGTAATACGATAGTTAATTGCGCAGACGAGATGATTTTTTATTCTTATTAAATGCTACAAGCTTATTTGTACGTTATTTGTCATATTATTTGTACCATAAATTGTGAAAAGGCAAATCTAATTATCTAATATTAAAATTTCTGTTTCTAAGGGTTATTAGACTCTAAATTCAGCTATGTATAGATATGCAACATGATTCAAAATTACAAAATAAATCTTATCTGCTTAAACGATAAGGAAAATATCAAATCGTTCGACAATATCATGCGATTGATGCATGATATAACTAAATGGAAAAATAATTATCAACGTAGAAGTTTTTCGTGATGGAGAACGAGACACTGCTAAACGACTTTCGCTTCTTTACGTTGCTCCTTTACGTGCTTTACGATAATTCCGAATTTATATCTATCAAGATCTGTACATATATCCACGATAATACCCTTGGCACGGATTTATTGCGTCGCGACAGGTAATCGTTATCATCTCGTGTCAGGCGCATATCATTTACTGACTAACTCAGCGAAATTAGTAAATTCAACAATCATGTTTCATCGCGCAGAAACAGGTCAAACGGAAATGCAGAGGTGATATCCCCACGCAATGATTAGAAGCCACAAAAGTTCCATTTGCCTTGTACTTTACTCACATATCAAACACATTGTCGACCGAAAATGTGTATGCAAATCGATTCGTCTCAAACTACCGAAAAATTCCTATGATTTTCCTATGATTTCGCGTACCCTATTTGTAACAAATTAGCATTATTGTTCTATATTTGCACACTGTATTACTATATTGCTTCTCACGCATTCATGATACAAAATGTAAATCAAGATTTTCTATTCGATGAAATAATTAGTAAGCGTATTAATTATAAGCATACAATTTTCTTTGGAAAATTAGGTACAGATTATATAGAGTGTTGTGAATAAAAAAGTGAAGATCAATCGCTCGGGAGATGATTGAGAAACTTGAGAACTCAAAAACAAGAAAAAAGATTGATATGAACATAGATCCGAAAATGCGTTATTTTCGAGTTATTGCCACTATACGGAATGTATGTACATATCTCGTGCAGATACAGCCTATTTAGTATGCTTGGCAGAGATCAGTTGTGCATCCTCAATATCGTTAAAGCAGTCCGCAATTTTTATTTGACTTTATATTATATGAATTATGTTATAAAACTTATAAAGGCCATCTTTTCTTTTAATTTTGATTAAAAAATTCGAGAACAAAATAGTTTCAAATTTCGCTGTAAAAATGGTGATAATTCGAAAACAACACATTTTCGGACCTAATGTTCAAGTTTCTTTTTTGTTTTTAGATTCCCATTCATCTCCCGAATGATTAATCTCGACTTATGGAAAACATGTATAAATAAAAAAAATATATAAGTAATTATGTCATTCATGATATGTAACATAAATTGAAATACTTGATTTAACAACATAAAATATTTCTATAAAACAAGCGTTCATTGTAAGTAATTTTTTTTTGTAATATAGAACAAATGTTTCTTATTTTTTGCTACTACTTATTTTGCTACTTTTGTTAGTATTTATAATAATAAAAATTTGATATTCAAATTTACGAATATATGACGGACCAACAAAATTTCTTAACTCATGAAACACATTTATCAAATTGATATGATAGCCTGATATCTTTTGCCGCAATCTTTTGCCGCAGTATCTTTTGTTGCAGTTTAAATCTTTGCTTTGTAAGCTTCGAACCGACCGTTGCTGGCACCGATCGCTGCTTGGCAAAGCCGGAAGCACCGCGGGCCTTGAATCTCGCCGCATTGCCTGAAATACGCAATTATGTAAAACCATTTTATCGCCGGAAAAACCTTCAAAGCGCGCTTTGACTCGCATCTCGTCAGCGGAGCAGCGGAGCATTGCCAGCACGTTATCTCGACCGCTAACATGATTCAATTGCTAATCCCGAAAACGGGAAATACTTTTGGAAAATCAATTTCTCGGAGAGTGATAAAAAATGTAATTTGACAAGATTTTGTCAAGATAGATTTTCTCTTAAATGTTTTCTTTTTGATAAACAAAAAATTCCCAGTTTCAATAATTAAAGTAATTTTACATTTAAGTACATTTAAGTAATTTTATATCTAGATTTGATTTAAAACGAGGATACAAATGATCCTTTGCGGGTGATCCTTTTTAAATAGAAAGAACGCAAAGCACCGATATCTTCAATGTTATTCTTATGTAATTGTAATAAGATAAATAATTTGAATTTTTTTCTCCTCATTAGAGTCTGACTTGATATCATTTACCATTCGTAAGTTTCAGAAATATAGATATATGTGTACATATAAGAGAGAGAGAGAGAGAGAGAGAGAGAGAGAGAGAGAGAGAGAGAGAGAATGCATAGAGAAAATCCTAATGACTTAAAAAATATTAAATGTAATAGCAAATATGACAATGATTAATATCCGCGATATGCGCAAACGATACTATATGGTTTATCTCCATGTTTATCTTAATATAAATTTTCATTTGTCAGCTGATGGATATTTTATCAAGTCCTATTACGACGATAAAATAACGATCAGAAGAGCCTTTAGATAAAGTTGCACGTTAACAACGTGCTCAATTATAACGGCTCAACAAATATCCGAGAGATTAATTAGTGAATATTGCTTAATTGATAAAGAAGATAATTGCGGTTACTTTCCATTCTGAAATTTTTTTTACGATCGCAGCTAATCTAAGTGTTTTCGCGACTGGTGCCGTGTCGGGATGGACAAGTCCGATCCTTCCTAAATTAGAAGACGACGGAGGGCCTCTGGGATCGCCGATCAGTAAGGATCAAAGTTCCTGGGTAGGATCTTTGCTGTCTCTCGGTGCTATGGTTGGCAGCTTTCTGGCGGGATATCTCGGAGAAAGGTATAGCTAATACAAATTAGCTATGTAAACATAAATAATTTATGAAAATAATAGTCATGAATAATTCTGTAATCGCGATTTAATTGTGCATTTTATTTTTCGAGCCAAGTTAATAACTAGGGAAAAGAAGCAATCTTCGTGAGAAGATGAAGTGCGTGTTAGATTAGAAAATATTTTGAATATTTGAAGGCGACTGGAACGAAGCTGATGAGAAACTGAAGAGAGAAACTTTTTCTAATTGATATTTTTATAGATGGGGTCGCAAACGAACGTTACTCTCTTCGTTGGTGCCGTTTTTAATTGGCTGGATACTTGTCGCCACTGCAGTTCATGTTGCTCAGCTTTACGTTGCGCGATTCATATTTGGGTTGGCTTTATCTTTCTCGTTCACGATTGTCCCTATGTATTGTGGTGAAATCGCTGAGGTAAATTTGATTTTTACACATGTCATGCGACAATATAATCGTTTATATGCTCGGTTTTTCGGAATTATCGTTATTCAAAATTTTCCTCTATTTCTGAGGAAATTAAGAAACAATGATTAATTTAATCTATAAGTATAAATTTTTATGCTGTCAAGTTATTTTACATAATATTTTTTGCTACATTTTCTTAAGATTTATTCTAATTCTCAAAATTTGAGCCTAATTAATTAAAAAAAATTATCATTAAATTATTAAGTAAATATTAAATAAATAAAATTATTATTTGATCGTCTAATGAATGAATTGGAATAAATAAAATTATTATTTTAATCACCTCGTGAAATTATTTATTTTGTCACAACGAATATTATTTATCTGTCCAGACTTCTATCAGAGGAGCGTTGGGTTCTTTTCTTCAGCTCTTTATCACACTCGGTTACCTATATTCCTTCCTTATTGGACCATATGTCTCCTATACAGTCTTCTGGATTCTCTGTGCCATCCTGCCGGTTCTCTTCTTCGTATGCTTCATGATAATGCCGGAGTCACCATATTTCCTTCTCACCCAGGGCCGCAGAGATGAGGCGGTTGCATCTCTGGCAAAGTTTCGTAACAAATCCGAAGCGGCTGTCCAGAAGGAAGCCGATGAAATGCAGGTAAGTCAGCAAGCAAATTTTCCCTCAAAATTTAATTCAAATTTGTGCAAAAATTTTGCCGTAAAAAATAAATTATGTATAAATTACTCGATAAATATAAATAATGTAAATATAAATAAATAAATGTATATATGTATATATATAATTATTAATATTTTTATTATTCTACATGGTATAAATTATTCTAATAAAAATTACTAATGCCATTCATGAGCGTCTATGGCTTCGCTCAGTTGATTTCTTGCTCGAGTGACAAGGTAATCATTAATGCACAGCTACCTGCACAGCTACGAGCACGTGCTCAATCATTGCGGGAGCGTATGTCTGAATATATATCGTCTGTCAGGTCGCGTTAGACAAACGAGGTCGTGGTTAAGGCTATTCCTTGATCCTGAAACGACAGTGTCACATAGTGTCGTGAGGGACAATTATGACTAACTTACAAATAACGTTCCCGTTTCTTATGTATTTCCCTCAACGCAGAGCTCACTGCCGGGTGTTCTTTCAACCATGTGTTAAACAACATGTGTTAAACGAGAGGAAAGCCATTGTTTCGGGATTGAAGCAGCTGTAATTGGAAAAATAATTAATGATCGGAGAAACTTTAGGAAGCTCAGATTGTAATTGAATAATAATTTTGCTTCAATATTAAACTTTGTTTGTTTGAACAAAAATTTGATTTTTTTTTTATTGTTTCATTTTGTTTTATTGCTTCTGAATATTCCAGATTATTTTCAAGTTACTTTGATATTTATTGATAAATAAATTGTTATTTAATAAATATGTGGTCTTGCTTTCGATTTTCAGATGATGCTCGACGAAGCTTTCAAGAATCAAATTACCTTCTCAGATCTGTTCAAGGTGAAGGCAAATCGTAAAGCGTTAATTTACACCTGTGCATTGGTTTCCTTCCAACAATTCACCGGTATCAACATCGTCCTGTTCTATATGCAGCCGATCTTCATTTCTGCCGGAATTTCCATTCCAACTGAGCAAGCGACGATTATTATCGGTGTTGTACAGGTGTTAGCATCAGGAATAACACCCATAGTTGTCGATAGGTTTGGCAGAAGAGTACTCCTCGTTTTCTCTAGTATCGGAACGACAGTTACCTTGGTGAGTAAGAGCCTTTACATTTTTTTTTCATTCCAAATTAAAATCGTCATTAATCATAATCGTCATTAGGAAAAGATAAAATAGATAAAAAGTAGATAAATTAATTTGATAGTAAAGATAAGTTAATTTAATCGAATTCAAAGATATATCATAAATTTAAATCGATTATGAGAAGCTCGTTAAATCCTTCCTTGTTTTTGATGACATTTACTCTCTTGCTGACAAAGATGATTAGTACAAATCGATTACAGCGTTAAAGAATTTCACGTTCATTAAAATAGACACAATGATTAATAGTATTCGATAGAGTTGTTATAAATACTATTACCCTTGTCTATCCTCGCGGTCTTTATATATTTAAAAAAGCAGTTACTATTATTCATAAAACGCTGGAATCAATGCTTTTATTATTAAATCGATCGACATACATTCTTTCGAAATACGATAATTTATGTAGAATTACTATTAAACTATTAAACTAATATTTAATATATATTGCATTGCAAAACTTCTACAAACTTCTTTGCATATTACTTTCTTGATAAACAGCCGGTCGATTCAGAAATTTGCATGAAAAGTGTGTCCGAAATTAGCTTATTCATGAAGCGATAGACGCAACGTGGTTTCCCGTAAAGTTTGCTTACTGTTTTATGGAGCAAGTTGTAATTTCGTCGCCTTGTGACAGAATGATGAATCTGAATAATTTCGTCAAAGCGAGCATGCATTGCTGTTGATTAAAATTTTTAACGAACCTTAAAGAATTTAAATTACGATTATAAAGATTAATTTTAGAGACAAGAAACACTCAAGAAACACAGAAACACAAGATTATCTTTTGAAGCATGTTTAATCAACAAGTCCAAAAAGCAGGCGAACAATTAAATTTTAAATGCTGATATTACGCAAAATTATTATCACTTTTATTAGCTTCCTCATTTTAATTCTGTTAAATAGAAGCCTTTTGCGAGCCTTCGCTTTGTTAAATGAGATAAATTAATGAAGAATAAAATTCTTTCGTGTTTTTGTATTAATCTAGTACCGTTAGTTAAATAAATATTTCTTAAGATTGTCGGTTTGTAAATGACAAATTTGTAAATGATTGGTGCGAATTATCGCACGTCGTCTCATTTTCATACTATACTCACGGATTACATCCGATTGTTAAACGCATTCCTCAGTCGTGAGTTCACAATCGGCATGCATAATTATGCTCGCCGCTATGCTTGCGGCATTCAACGACTCTCTTTTTTTATCATCTCTTTTTTATATATCTCGTCTTACGTCCCGAGAACGGTGACGCGCGATTTAATTATCCGCACGAATCCGCGGACTTGAGATCGTGTTATTCGAAGTACATATGATCCTTCCTCGATCGAATGATGATTAACGCGAGCCTCGTATATTTCTCATCACCAAGTAAAGTCTTAGACGCAGGAAACGCAATAGCGAATCAACAGGAAAGTGTGTAGTCCCCGTGAGACCGGGAAAAGCCCAACATCATTATACATTCTGGATGGAATGTGATAATCATCATTTAATCATCGGATACAATTCAGTGCACATACAACCAAAGGACTTTCTCCACGTGATTACGTGCGCTTACGATTACATAATTGACGACAGAAAGCAGACGCGCACATATGATAGTCCGCGTTGAAGGAAAAATATAATTAACGCGTTCTGAGATTTCTTATAAAGAATTTAAGAATGACGAGAGTTGTAAAAAATTTCCAGAAATTCTTATAATAATGCGTCATTAGATCGAAATCTTTCTGACTGATTTCAGTAGAACTGAGTGTTTTATCAAAGAAATTTTTCTTGTTCCTTGGAAATAATTTTGTTCTCTTATCATATGCACAGAACAAAATTTGTCTCAAACGATAAATATTCTCATATATAAGCAAGAATATTATAATCTTAAAAATTTTAGTCTTGATTCAAATTATATTGATGCGAGTATGACTTTTGCTCAAGTCGAGACTAAACACCTTTTATATTATAGCACTACAATATTCTAGTTTATACAAGAATATTTATATTTGCATCATCACAAATCAAGATTAAAATTTTTTTATCTATATTTGCATCAATCAAATATAAGGGTACTTCAAAAGTAGAAGTCAATTGCTTGGGAAATAATTGGGACCCAAAAACAAGAAAAAAAAAGTTGATATGAACATAGATCCGGAAATGAATTGTTTTGAATTGCCATTTTTATATTGAAATTTCAAATTGCTTTGCTTTCAACCTTTTTTGTTAAAATTGAAAAAAGAGATGATCTTTATGAGTTTTATAATATAATTAAAGTTAAAGTTTATTTTTACGAGTTGCTTCAGCATTACGCAGAATGCACCACGTGAAAGATATAACTCGCTTAGCATCCCTTTTGATAGAAATCAGAACTTCACAGATGTGCATCCTGAGTAATGCTAAAGCAGCCCGCAACTTTTATTTGACTTTAATTATATTATATAATAAAGATTATCTTTTCTTCTCATAAAGATTATCTTTTTCTTAATTTTTCTTTTTTCACAAAAAAATTCGCAAAGTAAAGTAATTTTAAATTTCAACGTAAAAATGGCGATAATTCGAAAACAATAAAATTTCGGATCTATGTTCACCTTCATCAACCTTCTTTCTTGTTTGTCGGGTTCCCCGATTCATCCTCCGAGTAACCGACCTCGACGAAACACTAGTACTAGTTTTGATTAATTTCTTTAATTTTTTTCCCTTATATTTAACACGCGATCGCTAATTCGTTTTGCAGTGTGCTCTGGGTTTGTATTTCTATCTGAAGGAAGTGCAGCAAGCGAACGACGTGGTAAACCAGATATCCTGGTTGCCGGTGGTCGCGCTCGTCCTCTTCATCATCACGTACAGCGTGGGTTGGGGTCCGCTCCCGTGGGCGGTGATGGGCGAAATGTTCGCCTCCAATGTCAAGGCGAAGGCTTCCAGTATAACGGTGTCAGTCTGCTGGTTCCTGGCATTCCTCCTCACCAAGTTCTGCAACAATCTCGAGGAGGCGTTCGGCAACTACGCGACTTTCTGGGTGTGCGGAGTCTTCTGTCTTATCAGTATCTTGTTCACGGTGCTTCTGCTACCCGAAACGAAGGGCAAGACTCTTCAGCAGATTCAGGACGAGCTTAGTGGAGCGACTTCGACCACTTTACACGCCGAGAACGGAACGAAGAAATGAAAAGGAAACACTCCTCATCATTCTGACGAATGGTGTACGCTAAATGGTGTACCCGATGAACTCGCAATACCTCGAAGAGATTAGATATATGCAAATAAAATACGCAGGGTAAAGTTTTATATCTTTGAAGATTTGGAGATTCAACATTTTCGTAGCAGAAGAGAACCAAGCAGAGTGTCAGAAATGCGTAAACAGATGCCTGATTGATACATGTGCCTATCGTTTTACTGCCAAATTTATAAATTTATAATATATAGATAATATAGGCAAGAAAAAATATTTTTAACCTGGAATCAGTGCTCAGTCTGTTTAACAAGTTTCAATCATGAAGAAAAATATAAAACGGATCGAACGGTCGTTTAAATGAATCGTGAGAATAATTAATATTCAGGAAATTTGGAGTAAAATGAAAATAGATAGATTCTATTTTTGCTCACATATATTGTACAGACAATTTTGTTTCCTACATGGGACCAAAAATATCATAATTTCATTGTCTTCCAGACACCTTTACGCAACGCAGCTCCTAGTGATTACATGTGTATATAATATAGAAGATACATATCTTGCATATTTATAATTACACTCGCGTGTAATGATACGTTTCATTATTCATAAACTTCATTTTCCAAGCGCAAAGGAATTTGTGATATGCCAGTGAACGTTCCTACGGACGTTTCCAAGCAAGTTCCTGTTTGGCCCGTGATTAGGAAACGTGTGACAAAGCTAAAACAGCTAATTATTCTACTTGTATTTTATCGGGGTTTTTGTAGTATTACATACGCTGATTGCAGACGCAGCGTAGAGCACGAAACGACGACAAAATTAATTTCACAGCGTATTCCTTGTTCACGGATGAAAGACTAGTCATTTTGTGCACGCAACACGTTTGCATAAAGAATATGTATTTAATAACGATGACACCAGAGATGTCGAAATTAAAAAAAAAAAAAAAAATCACAATCAATTATTATATTATCGAAACTTTAAATCATTGGAAATGTCAATAAATTGTTGTATTTATATATATGATGAAGAAAAAGAGAATTATGCTGTTGTTGTTAACAAATATTGACAACAACGAAATCGTCATCGGCAAATTAATCGTTTACAAAATATAATTATTTCATATCTTGCGTACAGTATAAATTTCATTATAATTACGCAAACAAAATAGGTATTAAGAAACAATATTTAAATATTGTATTATTAATTGAACCTCCTGCTAGTTTTCTAAATTATCTTATTATATAAGTAGTATTTTAATATTATCTTTAATATTCATTCTCTCTTTATTTAATAAGCATTATCTCTAAGAGTGTGGCAACGCGTTTTTTTCTTAATAATTCTAAAAAAAACTCAGGACAAACTTTTATATATATGATATAGAATCGATTTAATATTAATAGAAATTCTAATATAAAATATTTTATAAGAAATGACTTTTTGAGTAATAATTTTTAATTTGGGAGACTAAAATTATAATAATGAAAACTATAATTATACAAAAGTTACTCTATTCGACAAGTAAGTAAGCGTTGATCGCACAACGTTGTCGATTAATAAATGAGACTTTTCTAAACAATTTATAATGTAGATATATATTGATTAGAGGTGTCGAAATAATCTTTTATAAAGCAAATGGCAAGAAACAGTCCTTTACTCTGTTACTGAATAATTATTATTCAGTATAAACCGATAATGTTTATAAAGTTCCTTTCGCGCCGAAATATTTGAACTTTTTCCGCATTATGAATCAATTTTAAAAATAATTTATTATCTTTTATTCGAAAACATTCTGTATTATTCTACTACATATCTGCTACATATCGACTGTTTTCCGTCGTGTTGTATATATTTTAATATACAATAATGGTACATTTTTATACATAATTACTATAATTATAAATAAATTGTATGTATATATTAAATTAATGTATGTATTTACTGCAACCATGTTTTATATTTTATAATATGAATTTTCATCTCTTTCCACTTTCTCAAACATTTTCGTTCGATAGAAACACAGCTATAAATACAAGTCCTTAATAAATAATCGTCGCCACATATGTCGACTTCCGCAAAATAACGAAACAAAAGCCGTAAGTTGCATATGTGACGTGTAGAAAAATTTATTTGACATATCAATTAAAGCTTTTCAAGTCGTTCAACTCATCTTTATCGAACAATCGCAACAAAGTACTTAATCCTTTAATTAATGTAACAGGAACGCTCTCGAAAATGATGAATAAACGCGAGCAGGATAAAGAAAGCGATATGGTAAGCGGTAGAAATAATGTGATATAAAAATATCAATTAAACAATTGTATGAATTAATTTAGATGTCAATTTGTAAAAATGAAACATTATGCATTTTATTTTTTATACAGAACGAAGAAGACAAGAGATTAGAAGAAGAATTGTTACAAGCGGTCGATATATTAAAAGTAAATAAATTACATCAATTTTATTATATATTTGGATTAGAAAGAAAATAGAAAAATAAGCAGTTGAAAAACGTTATTTTAAAATTTATCAATTCTAATTGATGATAATTTCAAAAAAATTGCCGTCTTTTTTTCTGCTGAAGAAAATTAAATTATATACCGCTACGTAATTTCGTTATCAGGGTAAAGATGAGACAGCTATGTTGCTCTCACTAAATCATCTGAGGATTTTGATACGTACATCCACGAGTTCGATGACTTCTGTTCCGAAACCTCTCAAGTATTTACGGAATTTTTATCCGAGCTTGAGGAGCGCGTACGACAGGGTTAAGCGGGAAGAAGCAAAGATACGCTTTGCCGAAATTTTGAGTGTACTCGCTTTGGCTGGTGCTGTACCAGGATCTAGAGACTGCCTCGATTTTTGTATCAAAGGAGCCGTGGATAATCCCGGGGAATGGGGTCACGAATATGTGCGACAACTCGAGGCGGAGATCGTCGACGAATGGACGAACGCGCCGATCAGGGAGGAGCATGAAATCAGGTAAAGTGTATTACTTGTGTGTTATTGAAGGTAACGGTGACACAAATGAAATGAATACTTCACAATTTTATGACAATTTATATCAGAAATATAATGCTTCGATTTACGTATTCCTAATCCTCGGTATATTTATACTGAGAGATAATAAGAACAATGTGAAATAATGGTCTCTCGTACTCAGAAAACGTCTTACACCGTTGATTAAGAGCATTATTGCGTTCGACATGAGACACAATGCGGAGATACAAGCGTGCGACTTGTGCTTGGAGATAGACGAGTTAAATTTCCTCGCGGAATACCTGGATTCCAGAAACTTTACGCGAGTGTGCCATTATTTAATTAGCTGCGCGGCATACAGGTACGTAATATGTGCAAGTGTATAATGTTGTTGTAATTAGTAACATCTGTTTTATTTTTTTTAAATAACAATCCACAAACTTAAGATGTCTTAAAGATAAATTGACCCAGTGTCGGTTAAAATATAAATTTATTTAAGATTTATTTTTATAAAGAAAATCTAAATAATTTTATAATATAATATAACATATAATTTGATTTAAGTTTTCTTTATAAAAATAAATTTAAGTAAAACAAAAGTAAGTAAGTGAAAGAATAAAAGTAAAAAGTAAAAGTTCAAATAAATTTGTTTTTATGATAAAATTTAATTTTAAATTTTACAACTTGATGACTATAATATTATTAATATTTTGTAGAAAGTAAAAAATGGTTTAGAAAATTTGATGTATTATTTAGTAATCTAACTTTTTGCATCATTGATTTACTTTTATAAACTATATTTATATGCGTGTACTGTTTAGCGAGGATACAGAGAGAAGACAAATATTAGAATTTGCCACGGAACAATATCTAAAGTTTAACGAGTACACGAGGGCGCTTTTGGTAGCGCTGCAACTTGCAAATTCGGAACTTGTTTTCAAGTGCTTTGTTGCTTGCCCCGACTCTTTGATGAGAAATCAACTAGCTTTTATCCTCGCCCGGCTGCAAGTAACTTCTTGCATGATATCTACATTGCATTTAACTATTTCATAACAGAGCGAGAAACAATATAACAAAAATACACACACACACACACACACACACACACACACACACACACACACACACACACACACACACACACACACACACACACACACACATATATAAAACAATAAATAATTAAACTTTCTTTTGTAAAAGAAAGTAAATTCCAACAAATTTGAATGATAGATTATGCTGTTGAATAAACGTCTTTCTATTGTATTTCTTCGACAATGAATGCAATTTTTAATTGACCTTTATACGAATTTAATATAAATAGATTGGAATAAAAAAGGAGATTAATCTGTATAACAATCATACAATTAACTTTTAAAGATTAGAATAAATTCGTGCAACTTTAAATATTTTATTCTCTAAATAGGATCAACCTCTGAGGTTGGAATATCATGGAGACGATGCCAAGGATATCGAGGCAATTCTCAGCAATGGTCACGTGAACACCCACTTCCAAATTCTTGCTAGAGAACTTGATATACTCGAACCGAAGCACCCAGAAGATATCTACAAGAGCTGGTTGAGTGGAGCCAGACAAATGGAGCATGATTCAGCGAGGGCGAATTTAGCGGCGAGCTTCGTTTCGGGTTTTGTACACGCGGGCTTTGGTCAAGATAAGCTGATGACGAACACGTCCGATTGTTGGGTGTACAAGAATAAGGTTTAGCTCAGCTTTTTTAAATAATCTATAAACGAATAACTTGACTTAATTTTGAAGGCTGTAATATTGAATAAATAATAATCATACATAGTTTATGTTTTGTGTGTCAACAGATAGGAATGATTATTTCTATAGTCCAGTTTATAAAAGAGAAATTAAGAAATGTATATTTAAATATTAAATACCTTCATAATTAAATTAGAATTATTTATCCGGAGCAGCTAAAGGTTAAGGAAACCTGCGATACAAATAAAAACGTGCAATCTCTTTTTCTCTCAGGAACACGGAATGTTGTCGGCTACCGCTTCTCTTGGCCTGATACATATGTGGGATGTCGACGGCGGATTAATTCCCATCGACAAGTTGGTATAAATTCTAAACGAGAAAAAACCAAATATACATATAACGGATAAAAATGTATATTTTAGAAAATAAAATAATTAGTCGTTGAACTGAACCGAAAAACTCATTATATTAATTTATTTTTTTAAACTTACCGATGGTTCTATTATTCCATATTTGCATACATATCTTTAGGTATCTTTATACAAACGAGGATTATGTAAAATCTGGTGCCTTACTAGCAATTGGATTAGTGAATTGCGGAATTCGTAATGAATGTGATCCAGCTTTGGCGCTTCTTAGTGAATACGTAAAATCAAACAACCAAATTCTTCGCATTGGAGCCATCATGGGACTAGGTTTGGCTTATGCGGGTTCCAGAAGAAAAGACGTTACCGAACTTCTTTCTGGAGCTTTGGCCGATGAGCAAAGTAAGACATTCGTAAAATTATGATTATGTTTAATTAATTTTACTCTTTTATTTATTAGTTTTATTTTAATTAGTTAAAATTCAAAAATAGAAAAGAAATTTAACTTTTCTTTGATGATGAAAATTAAAAAAGTAGAAAAATATTGAAGATAATCTTTTAGTTTTATAAACCAAGATTTTTCTTATTATATTTTACATTTATATAGCTCGAATACTGAAACTCTTTGTTCAGAAAAGAATAAAAATAATAAGTAATACACATAGTTTCAAATTTTTTCAGCTAATATACAATTGTTGTCGCTAATGGCCATCTCCTTAGGCCTTATAAATGTAGGTTCAGGAGACTCTGATATATCTTCGGTTATTTTGTTGAAATTATTAGGGCTTTCTATAAAAGAGCTTGTTATCACGCATTCCAGGTATCGTATAATTATGTCATTATGTTTGTAGATGATTTAAAAATTAATTATTTCATTATAATGTTGTACTAATAAAATATTAGTAAATGTATACGACATAAATATAAATATAATTTCCGTGCAGATTTTTAGCATTAGCGTTAGGAATGATTTACATGGGAACTCGGGACGCCATAGAAACGCCATCCGCAGCGCTCGAAGCTCTGCCAGAGCCGTACAACTTTGCCTCGCAAACAATGTTACAAGTAAAATTAAACTGCTGCATTTTCTCGAAAAGAATTTGAAGAGTTTCTCATAACATTATTCAACAAAAAAAAATAACTTTTTCTTTAATACCAGAATGAAATTAGTTATTTCACGCAGCTTTTTAGAACGCTGAATACGAATCCTGCTTCCAAATTGTTCTATCATATCAGAGTTTTAAAAAATTTGTAATTAAAAATTGCAAAAAAAATTTATATATTTTGTCATATTACAATATGTGACGTGCTGGAACGTGTTTATTGCAATCAAAATTAAATATATTAGAACTTTTCTCGAAAAGAATTTTTTATATCAATTAATAAGACATTAAATATAGAGTCTGTTATAGAAAAGCTATGCAATCAAAATTAAGTATATTGTTAGAATTTCGCCAGCACGTCACATATTGTAATTACAATACAGTAGACAAAATACATGGAAATAATCTTTTTGCCGTACAACTTCAATTGCAATTTTTTAAAAATTGTAACATAATGGAGCAATCTGAAAATCGAATTCGTAATCAATGTGCAAAAAACTACGAAAAATGATTTGTTTCGTTCTGTTGTGTTCTTTTTTGTTGAACTGTGTGATTTTAATAATCAAAAACAGTAAGATTTGCATAATCTTTCGCGAAAAATATCTACAATTATAATTCAAATCTGATAAATTCTGCTAGATTTGCGCATATGCGGGAACTGGTGATGTATTGATAGTGCAAGAACTATTAAGAATTTGCTCCGAAGCATTCGAAGAAGTAACGACCGCAAAGACTACATCCCAGAGCACTTTGATATCAAGTTGTTGCGATCAAAGATCACAGAGTAGCTTTACCATATCGGAAAAAAATAAAAAGAATGACAACCAAGTCGAGGGGTCTGTTAAGTAGGAATAACTGATAAAAATATAAATATAAATATAAAATAGGATATTAATAAATGATAAAATGTAGAATGTAAATTAAATTGATAATATAATCTTTTGAAGGACATAGCAAAAAAAAATAAATTTTATTGTTGAATAATATATTAGGACTAAATAATTAATTTATTAATTATTAAAAGGATAATTAATGTATTAATTTTAGAGATATTGGAACTTCGCAAGCCATCGCATCTCTTGGAGTAGGTGTAGTTGGGCTTGGAGAAGGAAAAGAAAATTCGAGGATCTTTGGTCAGGTGAGAAGATAAGTCTTCAATGAATTGTAAGTTCTCAATGACCCGTAATGAATATTTATAGAGATGTTCCTTATGGCGATCTAAGAACAGATGGAGACAAAGAAACAGTTAAACTTCAATTCATCTTAATCAATATTTATGGGTTCCTTAACATTTATGGTTCATTCATAATCGCGGACTCTGTCTCTTTCTTTTCATAGCACAAAAGGGGGACTAAGAGGGAGGGAGTTAAAAGCGCAATCGACTTTAACTAATATTTATTATGGGAATGGCCCTCGTGATCCTGGATCTTCGCTGCAATTACAAAATGTTCAATGAATGTAGGTCGGAAGGTATGGTCCAGCGCCAGCGCGACGCGCTATGCCCCTTGCGTTGGCCTTGTCTTCTTTGTCGAATGCCGACCCGGCGGTTTTGGACGTGCTGAACAAATACAGCCACGATCACGATGCCGATGTTGCTCTGAATGCGATTTTCGCCCTCGGTTTAGTAGGCGCCGGAACAAATAACGCACGTCTGGCGACGATGTTGAGGCAATTGGCGGCTTATCACGCGAGAAATCCATCTCACCTATTCCTAGTTCGCATCTCTCAGGGCTTAGTGCATCTAGGCAAGGTAAAGGTGTCAATAAATTCATATTTATAAATAAATAATAATATACGATACAATAAAGCAAAATACCTTTTTGATCAATCAGCTGTCTCAACTTAAAATGAAGATGTAAATCATTCTTTTTTCTGATTACACTCGTATTACATTTTGTTTTTCAGGGTACTTTATCTTTGTCGCCTTTGCGATACGCCTCAAAAGTTCTAGACTATACTGCCTTGGCTGGTTTGATGGTCGTCCTTGTTGCATGCTTAGATTGCAGGAATTTGATATTATCTCAATCTCACTACTTAATGTACTGCTTAGCAATCGCTATGGAGCCGAGATGGCTGGTTACTATTGATGAAAATCTTAAGGTACGTGATAATCTTGGATTATCTTAGATAATCTCATTATCCATAAATCCAACTGTATCTTCTTAAGATCTTATAATTAAGTTTTAACATGTAGTTCTATAGGTTCAGAAATCGTGTCTTCTCAATACTTTGCAGAATTTGCCGGTATCGGTGAGAATTGGTCAAAGTGTGGACGTTGTGGGGAAAGCAGGTAATCCGAAATCCATTGTCGGTGGACACGTACAAACTACACCAGTGTTGCTGTGTGCGGGTGAAAAGGCGGAATTAATGTCTGACCAATATGAGCCGCTTTCTAACGTGCTGAAGGGTTTCGTAATCCTCCGTGAAAAAGTAATTTCGCGTCAGTCTTTGTACTCTTTTGCAGCACCTTTACTACGTGATTTAATGCATGAATTTTTTATGACAGACTACAACAAGTTAGAAGAATTCATGTTTGATAGTTTCGTTACATTGCCTTTATCAGAGAACGCTATCAACGAGTATCCGTGAACAAATTGAAAAAGTTTCTCTTGTAGATATACTTTAAATAGATCAGAGAACGAAAGAGATTCTTGCATGTGTAGGATTTGTTATAAGATATACGTTGCTTGATAACTGATGCGACGGATAATAATGGCTGGACGTCAGTTAGTTTTTTCGTATGTCTTGCATTTATTTAACTTTAGGGACTAGCGGAAGCAATGTGCTCTATACAACAGAAACATACATTGGTTCGCATTGCACAGTGGGGATAACATTGCGCCATGATCAAGAATGTCGGTCGCATATCAAATTAACAGAAATCGACGAAGATTAATTAATAAAAAACAAAACAAAAATTGATTGCGCAAATACATAAAATTGAGTAAAATATCAAGTAAAAAAAAAAAAAGAAAAAAAAAGAAAAAGAAAAAGAGAAAATGTTACAGCGGCAACAATCTCAAGAAACACCGCGATAATAATTAGTCGAATGTTAATGATCATGGAGTACATCGCATTTTCTTTGTGATAAAGCTATTACCCAAGCAACACAAAGATTCCAAAGACATTTGAAAGATCGTCATAAAGGAACAACGCTTCCAAAAGATTTAGAGTGTGTTGCCTCGGTAGGAATTGTAAGTGTTACAAAAATGTACAAAACATTTTTTGTAAGACTAATAATTCCCCTTTCTCACTCTTATACATGAATATGTCCCACATTCGTTTGTTAGGCACATGACTTAGGGTAAGAGGGAGAAGTGTATGAATAATAAAACGCAACTGATTCGATAAAACATCGCACGCGCGACGGTAGTAAAGTGTTTCGGTGACTTCGATTGAGCGAAGCGTGTCAATCTTATTACACGCATGCATATCCGAACATACATAGTAAACTCATCTAGATATAATAGGCGTAACAGTCAGAACTTTGATACGTCGTGTGTTTCTCACCTACATATGAAAATTCAACTTTATTCGCTTTCCATAAATCGATTCTATTCAATGGACGTATACTGTACGCCCAATATCAGTTTGCTGCTTGATTTATTACTTTAAAATTTTTTAATTCTGTACAGGACCTAATTTAAGGGTGGGGAATAATCGCACTGATATTCATAAAATTAAACTTACTTTTCTCTTGATAATAATGATTACTGGTAAAATCATTCTGCGTTGTATTCTGTGAGAGTTACATAAAACAATTTTCGAAATATAATGAGATATGCGAGAACGATTTGTGCATCAAAATGCATCTTTCCTTCGAGTTTAAAATGTTATAAATTTTATAAATTTTTTTTAATACATTCGATGTTTTCTTTTAAAAAAGTTAAAAAATCACTACCTACCCAAGTAGATGGATACAAATTGTTGGAAAATGTTGAAAATTTGTCTTATGCCACTCCCAAAATATTATAAGAATTGCTATAAATTGGATTAGATAAACAGCAATAAATCCGTATATTTGTAAAGTGTGATAAAACATTCTTTCAATATTACTGCTGAATCCGCCACAACTATAAATTTGGTCCTGATCTTCTTATTCGTACTCTAATGTAGAGTGATCAAGTGAGTATAGAAGTCTATCGCAATCCGCACCGCAGAGTGTTTTTTTTTAATTATTACATCAAGGATAATTAAAGGGATAAAGATAAATTTATATCTTCTTACACAAGGACATCATATTTGCGCGTAAGCTACTTTAAAATAAAATAATCCTTGTTGTAAGTTAAAAAGTGATCAATCACACGCAAAATCGAGTGTACTTGCACCATTCAGCAAGCTAGGCTCCCCTACTCCTTAACTCTTCATCTTGCACATAGTAAAATATAATAATATTAATAATATTAATAATATTAATATTAATAATAGTTAAAAATTAATAATAATGATAAATCCTACATAGTAGCATTTTTTTCCTTGCGTCATAATCTTCCACAAAGTTAATATATGTGTATGCGATTTAGCGAATACGCGGTTATGTATTTTGAAACTTCCTTGCTGCTTCTTCACGCCGCTTTTTCGATTTCTCGATTAACTTCTTATTTACAATAGTAAATTGTATTAAGAGTTTTAATTGCAACCTCTCTTATTTGATTATCTTTTTTTTTATAAGTTAATACCAACCGTCATTGTATATTCGTCAATGTATATGAGTAAAATCAAGTTACGATGGAATTCCGAATGGATAGAACTCGAGAATGACTACGTCGCTAAATCGGGTCATAGATAAAGCTGCCTGTGGATTCGTTGCTGCGAGAAAAAAATTGACGACAAGTGGCAGTGCTTTCGCAATTATTGTGTGTGTGTGTGTGTGTGTGTGTGTGTGTGTGTGTGTGTGTGTGTGTGTGTGTGTGTGTGTGTGTGGTGTGCGTGCGTGCGTGTGTATAATATCTGCGTATTTGTTGCGCTCCAGTCTAGGATTTCGCATTTTGTGAGCGCATGCCAATCGGCAGATCGTCACAATGGTTGTCGAACACATTTTTTCCCCGCGATCCATCTACCCACGTAGTAGGAATGTACGGTCCGTAGTACCGCAGTAACGCAATCGCGACACGACGCGAATCGTAAGCAAAACTATGTGGCGTAAATTAAAAGAGACGAGCACGTCTTTTGATATCATTGCGACGCCACTGTGGCAGTCTGTAGAATTCCGCTCGTGTGCATTGAAGAACAGCTTCGAATTCCGCGTCGGAAAGATGTCGCTGAAAAAGAAGCATCAGGTTATTTTTACATTTACGTTAAAATTATGATGATTATATCAATTAATTTCAATAAATAACATAGAGAGTGATGTCGTATAATTATTTAAAATTATAAATAAAACGGTTAAGCGCTCGCAGCTATCACTCACTTCGAGATTGCAACGATCCACATCAGCTGGCAGCCTATAATTGGTAATCACAAGTAAATGGTAGGGATAAAGCTTGGGTGGTTCGGTTGGCACATGGGCAGCACCCATGTCCGGCAGCGATCTTCTTACATGATGACCTCCAACGTGGCCTCCAACAACCGAACCTAGGCCACCTGTGTACGTGGTGGACGATGGAAGGATACCACCATCATTCTGCACCACAATCACATAGAATCATGAGTTTCATTAACAAAGACATACGTATAGATATGAATAGTATGAAAAACAATGACATGGACGATGCAAAAAAATGTAAAGGGTTGCATTTGCATTCGTCAAGTTTTTAAGTCTTCGAAAAGAAAAATGAATTCAAACGAAAGAACTGATTCAAACTACTGGCCAGGTAAGATTTTATAGAGTAACATAATGTTGTCGCATATAAATTTTGTAACATGAATTCGTAAAATCCAAAAAGCTTCTTTTTGATTGTACATTTCAATTAAAAATTTTTGTTGCCATGCATCCCCTAAAAATGCTCTTGTCCACGCCTTAAATAATAAACACATCTTTTACACATATTGTTATATTTTTACCACGTAATAATAAAATAATATGACTAAAATAATATAATCAATTTTATTTGCACGGATAAATAATTAAATTCGTATGACTCAATAGATTGCTTCATAATTCATTAATCAATCTCCAGCTACTAAAAGTATTAGGAGTACATTGATTTATTCAAAATAGATGGAAGCATTTATTTTACGAGTAATTTAATTTATTTTTAAAATTTACACCAATATATACAATTATTTATATTTCTTATAAACAACATTGTACTTTACTGTACAATTATATTTCTTCAAGTGCAGATAATGTTTATGCCATTCATGCATTTCTTGTAACTGAAGAATTTTGTATTAAAAAAATTTTGTGTACGTGTAAATACAACACACGAAATATTTAACTACAAATAAATATATTATTCACAACGTTATATAACATTAAATAATTTATTTCTATAAAAGAAAGAACATTTTGATGCATTAAATCGCTAATATGAACCGATATGATATCAATTCCATTCAGATTCTTATATTATCTTTGAAATTATTAATTGAATTATTCAAAGTTATATAAAAAAATTTTAATATCTTTATTTTTCATAATTGTTTCTTATCAAATAAATTACATTATTTTAAAAACGCAAAAAAGATAAAATAACACATTTCTTCATAAAGCTATAAATAGTGTAAATTGGATAAAGTTAACTCGATAAAATTAACTAACTTAACTTAATTAGAAGGAGAAACTTTTAGGATAAATCAAATATGCAATATAGAGCAAATTAAAAATAAGTATAGATCATAAAAAAATGCAAAACTCAAAGAACAGCAAAATATACAGCATGCATGCATACTCATTATACAGCATTATATATACAATATTTTACATTAATAAAATAAAAACAAATAGCAAATCAAATATAATTAACAAAAATATGTATAAATAATATGCATATACACATAGTAAATTTTTCAAACGTACAAACTGTATTATCTTGTTTCTCTAGATGAACGTGCGCATTTAATGCAACACATTTGTAATTATAGAGACGTGCTAGAATGTTAAATAAAA